GGATATGGCAGGAGACTGTTGTTGCTAGCTTCAACGTTCTGTCCCTGGAAAGACAAAGAAAATCACGGACACCTTAGAATAGCTCCTGGTGTCGAGTCTCACTGAGGATTATTTTTGTAGATCGGAATAATTCAGTTCTTTTATTTTAACGTGCTGTCTCAATAGTTTCAGGAGCCAAATAATAATGATAACTTTATCCTTCTGTTAGTCTTTTATGTCCATATATTCCCTCAAAAATGCATTCTCAAAAATGACTGCTAAAAGCCCTCCACAACCAACACCATCAGCACTTTAAACCTTCGGAATCATCGCTAATGACGAGTATCTTTATTTCTTCTACGTTCGTAACTTTAAAATGATTGCGGGGTCGTTGTTTTAAATCTAATAGACGTAGTTTATGTGACAGTACGTCCATTAGTCTCTTCAGCAGATTATCAGAATTATTTCTTTACCCCTATTGTGTTTTGATTTGAGGATTTCTTACGTTAGTAGATGATGCTGATATCTGATTATCTCACACTTCTACCAAGTCGTTGGCATACAGGAAATAATAGATTTTAAAAAAATTGTAGTTAAAGCAGGGGTTCAAGGACGTAATTTAAATAATTACACTCCGCGATGCAAGAGTTAGGTACTTAGGCTGGTGAATAGATGGCTTCAGGTGTGCTACCACGTTATTTAACTTCCTCTGCTAATCCAGTGTTGTAAATAGAAAGATTTTGATATTTTGTCTCTTATTTTGAGGTCGTGTCAAAGAGTTGTGGTTTTTGTACTACGATAACTGAAACTTCCTAGGTGATGCAGAATAATTTTTTAGAGGAGGTGGACAGAGATTGCTTGGTGTTTGCTTCTACTGCAAACTTTGAGATGCGTAAAACTTTTTATTTTCAAAGTAAACAGAAATTCGGTCCTGTGAAGTTTAGAGTTGTGTGTAACAGGAGGGAAAACAAGTTGTTGTGTTAACACTGATTCTCCGGTTTTATATGTAAGTCGGTGGAATCTCTTTATTGCTGTTTCAAACTGTGATTTTCCAACAATTTTTACATAGCGTTTTTCTCTTCTTTGTTACTGTCGTTAAGGACTTTGTCTCATTCACAGAGAAATAAAAATAAGAGTTAGTGGTATTTTTATTTCTTTTGATACAAAAACCCCTTAGCTTCTATAATTATTTTCTGCTACATACGATACGGCAGTGAGGAATTTATGCACCATCACACACAAAGAGACAACAAATTTTTGTATACAAATTCTTAAGTTAGATCAATCTTGTTAGTTCTGGCGGATGTATTTAAAACAAAATTATTTTATTTTTTACGACACCGTAGACTGTCAATGGAGAATTCTAGTTTGTGTAACTGATCAAATTAATTCAATGAAGCATGGTCAGCTAGTCAAGAAATTTCCATTCATTTGTTAAAGTAAAAAGCTTCGTTATTCTACTAACAAGAGCTGGCCACCGATTCTTAGTTCGCGTCATAATTCACATTCTCCCACCCTGTTTCCCTTAGATCGATTTTAATATTATCCCCTCATCTACACTCGGTGCTTCCCAGTATATATACAAGAAATTATTGTAGTAGTTTTGTAACAGAAGGCCAGAGAGTGTAGACGTATAAGTAATAAATATAAATATTGAAATACTGAAAAACCTTAGAGTAGAGTAACTCCCGAATACAAGTCAGAAGCTGTTATCGTTTGAGCCAGCTAAATCCTTACGTATCATGATGAAGTTAACAAAAGGCTACTTTCCGAAAACGCTGAAACACAGATCTATATAAAGTAATTAACGTATTTTCACACATGTTGCATGGTTGTGGACCATATTGCAAGAGAAGATCATAAAGTGAAGATATGTGGAAACGAAATGCTAAGAGAGATGGAATAAATGTGAAGTGAAACTGGCCGACATATTTATGAACTTTGTGACTTAAAATGTTGTATTAATATTATTAATTTTATTAACACCATATACAAAGAACATGATATGTACTTAGGACAGGAGGAAAAATAACTTCATGGGAAATTCTTTTCGTGCATGTCATTTGTGTCATCAGGATGAAGTTCGGAGGTCGGTATTAAGACAAATATATTGAGTTATTGAGGACTTAAAGGAATTGGCAGAGTGCAGAATCTAGTAGCGAGCGTATTGAAACTTGGGGTTTGAAACCCAGTTATAGTGGAATACTTTAATTTTTTATCCCTGACACACTGATGATATTTA